TCGTAGTTTAGGCCTTTAATTTAAAAAGCCTGACTTTAAATACTGCCTGTGAGGAAACCCTTGAATAAAAAGAACATGTGAAAAATTGAGTGTAGCTTTTTGTTTGAAGTGATTAGATACTTAGGGTGCCCTCAAGCCTGCCACTGTGCTTACTGTGTGCCACGCTTAATGTTCACCTCTGTAATGAGAGTGAGGCCTGACTCAGTGTAAGGCCTTAGCAGGCAGTCCTTCGCACTCATTTCTCTACACTGGCAAGATGGGTAGACTTGTTAAAACCTAACATTATCTCCCCAGTATCTCCTTAGAGAAGTTTCTTTTCTTCTGGCTACTGACACGAAAACTTGTGGACTTTAACTCCAAAGAGTTGCCTTTTTTGACTTTTAATATTTTACATGAATTTTTTAAAATAGACATTTTAAAGGTTCATTTAACAAGGCTGTCAAACTTTGTGTAAAGCTTTGCATTTAGCTTAATATCCTTCCATACATTTGGAAATGTGAGGGTGGGTAGGTGTAGGGAGACCTATAATAACTGCTGTAAGGTGATTTAGTAGCAGAGTGGTCCAGGCTTGTGACCACAGCACTTGGGAGGCTGAGGCTTCAACGACAATAACGATAAAACTCACAGCCATACAACAGTATAGGCCAATGGCGGGTTGGACTTAGCAGAAATGTTTGCCTGACTATAGCCTATTAGGGACTAAAGGAAGGAGGAAGCATTCATTCATTCATACATTCACCAGGCATTTGTCAAATAAATATCCTGTGCCAGAATCTTGGAGCTAGAACAGTGGATAAAGTAGACTCTTTCTGATTTCTTGAGTATAATTGTCTCTTGAGGATGACAGATATCTTTTAGCTTTTTTGTGACAAGGCCTAGCTCTGTATCCCAGGCTGGTCTAGAATGTGAAGTGATCCTTTGCCTCACCTCCTGAGTGCTGCTGGCATTACAGGTGTAAGCTGCTATATGACATATAATGAAAATCCAAATACATACCAAGTGTGGGAGATGCGTGGTAGTCACAGCAGACCTCTGCTGTTGACATTAGTTAGGGCATGCTAAACACGCACAGGGAAAGAAGCGTCTTGAGTGTGAGATTCTGTGAGAAACTTAAAGAGGGCGACATCAGTGTGGCTAAAGAGGTCCCTTTGAAGAGGTGTAACATGTGATAATACTTGGTTGCCATTTTAGAAAGCCAGGGCCTTGTCAGATCCAGGAAAGGCCATCCTGCCAGGTGGATTGCCAGCCTCATGCTGCTACTTTGTGTTTGGGGGAGAAAGAAGAGGACAGTGTAGCTTCAGTGTCATGAGTGGCCTCAACACAAGGCCTGAGCATATGGACCCACGTGGGAGGGAATTGGACTTTATTTTAAACTGTTTTAAATTGTTTAAATTGTTTTAAATCCATGAACTGTTTGTGAGTGGATCGAGCTGCTAACCTGTGAACGTTTGAACTGTTGATTTCCAGACAACACAGATAGGGGTTGCTCCAAAGAACCTTTCTAAACAGGTCCACTTCCCCCTTATCCTTTCTTTTCCATTACCTCTGGAGGGTGGTGGGTTACAAGGGAGGTTAAAATGTTTAAGAACCATCATTAAAAATAGGAATGGAAAAGATTAAAGTTAAAAGCTGTCCGGGTCAGAACATGGATGCAGACCCGTGGGTACCTTAGTAGTTAATGCAGAATAGACCATAAGTCCCTATTTTTCTGGTATCTAGTCATGTAGCTTTCATTCCATTTCTGGTAAGTTCTCATGGGTTTTTAAGGAAATACTTGCTACTATCTTTGTATACTGATATTTTTTAAATTTTGTTGCATGTTTTGTTGGCTCAGATGTCTGGAACTCTGTTAAATGTTAACGACAGTCTTGTTCTATTTCTGGCTTTAATGGGGATGTCTTCTATGTTTTTAAGTTGGCTTTTTGACATACACACTCTGTAGAAAGATAGTCTCCCTCGGCTCTGAGTTTTATAAAAGGTTGAATTAGGAGGAAGGTTTTGGAGCCTGTTGGAGTCTCTTAAGAAGACTGTGCTGTTTTCTCACCTGGTGTGGTGTTGACTTCAACAGATTATCCAGTTTGAAACCATCTATCTTGGAACAAGTTAGATACATTTAAAACAGATTCATAGTTCATTTGTGTTTTATGTAGACTTTAAAGTATATGGGCTAAATAGTTGTTAAATAAAGACTCGCAGTCCTTAAAATGTGAATAGATGCACCCACTTACAGCCTAAAAGAATCACCAAGGCTTGCAACTTCAACACCAGCATGCCTTTGTCATAGCAGAACCACTTCCCTTGTCAGTAGGCTTGCCATCCTTCAGTATCCTGGCAAGATGGAGGCTTCTCATCAGGTCTGATCTTCAGTGTAAGTATGTGCCAAATGGTAGGGTTTCTTAGAAATCTGGCATCTGTGGGACAGAAATGAACTGTGTGTGAGCCAGGGTACCAACATACATGAGTCTCTTTAAAACATTAGGAGTCACACTGGATTAGTACCTATTAAGATAAAAACCACAGTGTCCTGATGACAGGCATGTGGCTTATGACTGTACCTTCCTAGGATACATTTCTCCCAAAGTGTGATTACCTTGTTGGTAGTTTAGAGTCTGCCTTGCTTCTGTTATTTATGAGGTTTGCATCTGTACATGTGATGGTCTGTATATGCTCTGCCCAGGGAGTGGGCACGATTAGAAGGTGTGGCCCTGTTGGAGTAGGTGTGTCACTGTGGGTATGGGCTTTAAGACACTCATCCTAGCTGCCTGGAAGTCAGTATTCTGCTATCAGCCTTCAGATGAAGATGTAGAACTCTCAGCTCCGTCTGCATCATGCCTGCCTGGATGCTGCCGTGCTCCCACTTGATGATAATGGACTGAACCTCTGAACCTGTAAGCCAGCCCCAATTAAATGTCCTTATGAGAGTTACCTTGGTTATGATGTCTGTGTGCGCGCGCGCATGCATGCACACACACACACACACACACACACACGCACACACATTTTCTGAAAAGTTTTTTTTTTCTTGTGGAAATTTAAACTGTTGTTAACAGAGAAATCTCCAGTCAGTGTCGCTCCTTGGAAGAGCTTTACTAGGCTCTGCATCCTATAGTCTGGTATTCGATGGGCTTGTTTCCTTCAGAAAACAGCTGTTTTGGTTTATTGTGGGCTTTGTTTTAAAATGCTTTTCTCATTTAATGTTATACCTCCCCCTCTTAACATTCAGAGTGTGGGGTTTGTTTTGTTTGAATGAAAGGCAGTGTTGAAGGCATTGGCTTTTCTCTGAATAGTGTGAATGAATATTCTGGCCATTTGCATGTGTGCAGTAACCTTGTTTTATAAGTACTGTTTCAAAATCTGGTTCAACAGTTAAGACTATTTAAATATTTCTGTGTGCTAGCTTTAAAAATATTTTGTTATTTTATTACTTGTGGGATTTTGCATTCTATAAATTAAGTATGGCTTATGTAATTTTTGCTTTAGAATGTATTGAGAATTTTGGGACCTAGAATCTTTAAGAAGTGTTCTGGGATGCTTTATTTCTTCAAAACCTTTTTCTTGTTTTTACATGATTGTGTGTGTATTTGTTTCTCAGATGTCTTGAAGCTTCAAAGTCTGTATATCCAGCAAGGAGTATTATGTGCTGAGGAATTGTCCCCCAACCATTATTAGTTCTTTTGTAGCTGCTGACATTCTTTGTTCTGAGACCTTTGGTTATTTTATGGTTGTGCAGTCCCTGAGTAGCTCACCACAAAAGCCGCTGTGCCACAAAAACTGTCAAAGCAGCACCAGACACCTCCTTCCTTCTCCAGCCTGTGGCCAATACAGTAAAATGTCCCACAGGAGCTGACCCAAATGGTGGCTCCGGTCACAGTGGCCGTGTCACCACATCTCAGCCTGCAGCTGTCTCAGGAACTGCCAGGAGCTGTCCACGAGGAGCTGCAAGGTGACCTTTCCTGACTCAGCCTACAGCGTCAGTGAACACTGCTGCAGGAGCTGTCCCACAGGAGTTGTCCATAGGGGAAGCCACCCCCCGCCCTTTCCCAGCAGCCCCACAGAGACTGCGCCTCAGCAAAAGCCAGCTACACCCAGGAAGGACTTCCCACCCTAATGTGGGCCCAATGAAGGAAGGGGTCCAACAGTTTTTAAATTGGCCCACCACATGACCTGGTGTCCAGTGGAGTAGGAAGGTCATCTGGGTGCTTTCTCTCTGTCTCCTTCAGCCAGCAGGCTTTCATCGAAAGTGTCCGGCTCCTGAGTCTTCATTTGGTAAATCGAACGTTTGGGATTTTGTTGTTAAAAAAAGTATTTCTTTTAAAAGAACACACTCTAGTGATTTGTCTGCCTGCAGAATACATACTTAAGCCAACTTCAACTTTTTATAAACTTTTAAATCTTTAAGAGGTGTATTAGTTCTTTGAGAATTTTATATACTTTCCATCTACTGCCTCTGGCTCTTCCACTCTCCACCCCTACTTCTGAGCCTTGGGAGGAGGGACCGTGTAGTCTATATGTTCCATTCAGTGCTGAGCAGATCCCACTCTTTCCACCTTGGCCCCCTGTAGGTCTCTTGTCAGTCCCCCTCTATTGGAATTAGACAAGGGTTGGGAAATGAATTCACCTGAAAAGAGAATGCCAGGCTCATAGTCCCACTCCACATCTTTAAAAGGCAGTATATCACAAAAAGATGTAGGGCTGAGACAGGAAGTGTTTCTGCTCAGATGGGGGGGTATCTGGTGACTCAGAGCATCCAGCTCTGAGGGGAGAAGGTACCCAGTGGAAAGGCATCCTTAGACAAGCGAGCTCAGGAATCGCAAGCTCTGAGAGGAAGCCTCCTCAACAGAGGCATTGCAGCTCCCGGGGGAGCGTATCCCCAGGTGAGCTGAAGGAGCTCAGGAACCTCAGGCTCCTCCCTTCCCCTCCCCTCTCCCCTCCCCTCCCCTTCTCTCTTCCATCCCCTCTTTGCTTCCTTTTTTCTTGGCTGCTTCTGA